AAGCAACAACATCATCCATTGCATTAATAATATAATTTCATACAAGTGTGTTCTGTCAAGTTATATAGACACAAAAAATGTACATCAAAATAAAAGAGGAGTCTTGAACAAGCTCCATCTTCTCAAAAACCTGGCACCGGTACCTATCTACTGGTGACCTGAGAATACAAGTTATTTTGAAATCGAGTATCAGCTTTAAAGTTGATGAGATCATAAATATATTAGTGTTTGTATTTGTATGAAAGCATTTGTAAGATGTAATGTATAAGTTTTGTAAAGTTTGTATTTGTTTGAACACTCCTAGAAAACCCTATGTTTCCTACTAAAAGTAGTCTTTTACCAAGGCATCTAGTATCTGTGTGTGTGTCTCTTGTAAGAGTGTGTATTTTCCCAAATCCGACTATCATTAACCAAAAATATAGTTTTTACATTACCGTGCATCGTGTGAATGTTCACGAAGTGAATGTAATGGGAAATATATTATAGTACTGTAGTGTTGTATTAAGTAACTACTACTGTACTAACTACCTTAAAACAATTGTTATTTAAAGTACCATGTAATCGGCTTGTACCCTGCTACCAACTCAATAGTAAAACGACGATGTAAGACACCGTAAGAAATGATATTTGGCACCCGTAGACTTGCAAGTCCCACTGTAGCGAGCAGCAAGGTGTAGGATAGTCAATCCAGTATAGATCTATACGCAAACTCATACGCTCCCCAATTAAGGAGATTATAGATACAAAAACGGTCATGGCAGGTAGTGACATGCCCCGTTTAGTGGCTCACAAAACTGCATGAATGTATATGTAATGTATGTGCTAACTGTATTGTGTGTTCTTTCTCTGTCTAGCCTGTATATATTGTTATGTTCTGCGTGTACTAGTTGTATTGTATGTTCTCTCACTATCTAGCAAGTATTGATATGTACTGTGTGTACTAGATGTATTGATAATAGTAAGAAAACCACTTGTTTGGTAGTTATTATTATTTTAAACATTTGTGATTTGATTGAAAAAAATAAAATATTAATATGATTCAACTGCAAAACTACCCAAAATATAATTGTTTTTTTAAAATTGTCTATAAAATTAAAACTCATTAAAACCCAAATACGATCATAATATATATATTCTTGTTATTTTTACAATTGTATCATCTAAAAATAACAAGAATATATATTATGATCATATTTGGGTTTTAATGAGCTTTAATTTTATAGACAATTTAAAAAAACAATTATATTTTGGGTAGTTTTGCAGTTTAATCATATTAATATTTTATTTTTTTCAATCAAACCAGAGCTCTGATACCAACTTTTAACATCCAAAAAACCAGAGTAAAATTTTTATTTTTGCAAAAACAATCCAACGACCATAAATGTTTACAAAACATTGTTTCCAAGAATAATAGTCACAATCAGAATATCACAAAATCCAAAATCATAAAACCAAGAGGATATGCATGTTCACGCCTTTGCTTTCCTACGATCGTCTGGAGTACCTGAAATAATAAAATGAAATTGTAAGCCAACACTTAGTGAGTACCCCCAAAGTACCACACACAACATATAACATATATAATCATGCATGCTATGTCTAATGAGTTATCGGACTCGAATACCTTCGGGTCCACAGTCGTCGTGCTGGATTACCCCTTACAATCATCAGACTGGAATACCTTCAAGTCCACAACTATCAGGCTGGATTATCCCCAACCAAATAAGTCATCGGACTAGAATGCCACTATAAAACAGGTCAAATTAGTCATCGGACTGGTATACCCTCGGGTCCACAGCCATCGGGCTGGATTACCCCTGGTCTATTGCCTAACGCACATAGTTGTAAAGCCTCAACCAAAAACAATACTATGTCAACATATGCAACAAATCTACTATAATAAATGAAGTTTTTTTTTGCCACATGTCATCTTCTCATTCATTTGGACACATGGCATTTTCTAGCATTTTTAAATTTTCTATTTTCTACTTGTCATTTTATTGTATTTTTTCATTTTATTAAATTAAACTTCCACATTTAATGTGTAAGATACTATATATGTAAAATATTTATTAGAAAAAGTTTATATATGTAATGTATTCAATATATTAAAGTCTCATTAATTTTAATAATTCAAATTTTTCTTATTTTTCTTATAAATTCAAACTTTTCAAATTATTAAAATTTTATATTTATTTTTTTTAATTAAACCCATGTAATACATGGGTTTCACACCTAGTAAACATATAAACAATCAACATGCAACATGCAAATCTACATATCACTACTGCATAGCAACATTCCATATACCACGATACAAATCTAACAGATGGCTACAACATAACAACATCCTATATACCAGTATATAGATCTAATAGATCTCTACAACATACCAACATCCTATATATCAGGATACATAACCTAGTGGGCCGACATTGGTGCCTTCAACCCACAAGTATAGTAAGGAAAAACTCACGTCTCAGTCTGAAAAGATATATGGATATAACATCGTTATGTATACCAACTCTACAAGTCACCTCCAAGTGAAGCTTGGTGGAATAGTACTTCTAGATCCAAAGTGCTTTACTCTTCTAAGATGGTATCTTTTCTTTCTCCTTCCTTTAAAGACACCACAAAAACGCTTTTAAGCTTAAAATGCACATACAATGAAATAGGGTTTCCTTAGGACAAAAAATGAGGATGGGGGCTGATGAATGAAGGGGTCTCAAAGAGTTAAGGATGTTTAAATATGGTCCAAACCCTAAAAATTTGGGTTTGAGTCTTTGCCACGTACCCCCAACGTACGTGATCAAATCCAAATTTTCATTTAAATGACATTCATGACCAATTTGCAAAAAAAATCTCATACCAACGATCAAAATGTAAATAGCTAGAATTCGATACTGATGAAAACAGGATCTACTGAAGCGGTGTATTGATAACATACCATAAATGATTTCTTAAACACAATTTCAAAAGATGACCGAATAAATCGTTGATGTGTAAAAAAAACTTGTGTTACTAGCAATATTCGACCATGATGATATACATAATTTTAAATTCAATTCAATAATAAATTGGATAAAAAAAATGATTAAATTGCAAAATGGTCCTTGTGTATAGCTTAAAGTTGCTACTTTTGTCCAAAAAGTTTTTGACTAGCACCATCAATCCAAAACTTTTATTTTGTTAGGTGTTTAGTCAAAAGTGTTTTCAAAACATTTAAAATGATGAATATGCCCCTGATATTTACTTTTTCTATTTTTATATTACAATAATTAAAAAACAAATACAAAACTCTTTAACTGTTTATCCCCCCCCCCCCCCCCCGATTCTCTACCATTATTTGAACCTGCAAACCATATGTCTATCATCATCGGAGCTCCGAATCCGAGAAATCAACGACTCTCAAGAAAAAGAGAGAGACGAAGTGAGGACCACCACTAGTCATTGTGACAAGATTAAGAATAACCAACATATTCAACACAAAACACACACATATTAAATACAAACAACCGTAAAACCCAAAAACTGATTCAAAGAAATATCAAATTACACACAAATCCCAAGTTTTCCACATTTAATCTTTTGTACATCTCAGAACTAACATATGAAATTCATAAATCAAAGGAAACAAAAGCCATAAATATAAAATGGTAAATTAAAAAAAACTTGTTTTTTCTTAAACAAATGAAGATTAGGCCTACCACACAAAACTCAAATGTAAAAAGGTATCCGAAATCAACCTCTCCACTATCAGAGTATTACAGAGGCAAAGTCGTTGCAAACTCAAGTCACAGACGGAGTTCGAAGTTCTACAGTTACATCGACATTCGTTATTGCTTCACTCCTTCTCCGGCAAGCCACATGTGTTTGTAGAAACCCTAGCATTGCCATCTTCATCAATGGTGGTCTAGCAATTTCCGATGGCAGTGGTCTGACAATCTCGAATGTATTTTGTTAAAGAGGGATATGGATGGGCGGGTTATTAGTGTAGGTTTTTAATTTGTTTTAGTTCGATAAATAGTAAAATAAATAGAAAAAGATGAAAGGTATAATTGTTATTTTAATTATTTAAAGAAAATTTGGATCAAAATTGCGATAAAATTTCTATTTTTGATCAATAGTGTTAATTCAAAACTTGTTGGACCGAATTCAATAATTTTCGAAAAATCACATATATTTTTACAATCTTATAAAAAAGACAAAATTGCAAAAATGGTTCTTGTGTTATGCATTTTTTGGGGTTTTGGTCCAAACTTGACTTTTTTGGATTTTGTAGTCCTTTTGGCCATGTTTGTACGTAGATTTGGTCCATCGTAAAATTAAAATGACTAAATTGCACTTATTATATTTATTTTCCATTTTCTTCTTTATATATTAAATAAAGATTCTCTGTCTCTTTCTCACTCACACTCACTCTCTCTCTCTTATCAGGTTTAATACCTAGAACTCAAAATCGACCACCTTCCTCTTCTTCAATCATAGACCTCAATCTATCTTCTCTTCCACCTCATTATTATGTCACCACCTCGTTCATGATTATCACTCATAAAACCCACCAACCTACATTCCTGAATCATCCCTCAGCTCTATAAAGAAGGTCGATTGCCCATATAAAGTATGTACAAAGAAGTCGGATCTCTGTATGTTATTCCCAAATCAAAAGTGAAACAAATAGGTTGTGTTTCTTAGAATTGGGTTTTATCACACAGGTTTCAGTATGGCTTTCATCTAGTCATCAATTGCAAGCATCCAATTCTCCTTTTTACTTGCCTTTTCGAAGCTTATTAGGTTATAATCAGAGAAAAGAGCAAAATCTGCACATTCATCAAAATTAATCGGTTGTTAAAGATTTTCTATGCTCTACTGGTTCGTTCGATTTGATTCCAGGATTATGCAAGATTCAAATAGAAGATATCTCTCAGGTGTCCTTCGTAGAAATTAGTTTTGACTTGTGCTGATTGTTCGTATCTTTCCCCTGCTTTTTCGTATTCTTTTTAGGAGAATTCGAATCCGATTTGCACTTGTTCTGATACTGATTCTTTGCTAGTGTTATCATCTTCTGTAATAACAATCGATTTTCTTGCTTTGTTCATGTGGACGTTACCTAGGTTGAACAAAGCTAAAGCGGACATTTCTTGGAATTTTGATCCAACCATGTTGAAAAGGTTCTGGGAGCTTTTTGTTGTGGTTGTATCTTCCATTGCTTCTGAGTAAATCTCCATTCCAAGTTCATGAAGATCTAAATATGGATCTGTATCGAATCCCACATGGCTCTTGAAGAGTCTTGAGAACTGGACAATCCATTCCTCTTTGGAATTCATGATTCCTTCTGATTTTCCCTCAAAAACAATGGGAAGTTGTTCATTTTGGAAGAGCTCGTATGTTGGTTCTTTATCTGGAGTAACTTCCACTAGGTAGAGTTTGAACGTACCTTGAGGATTACTTAAAGTTTCTCCAGATCTCACCTCAGGCGTTGATGGTGATTAGATCTCCTTCTCGATCTTTGTACTTGATGAGAGAGACCCCAAATTAGATAATTATTTTATTTTTCCATTTTTACAATTTTGTCTAAAAAAATTAATGGGCAAAAAAAAAAAAAAAAAAAAAGTTGATTACGGTCGTTAACCCGTAAACAAATAAATCACGATCAACGTAGAAGAAACGCGTCCTCACAATAATTAACATATATCGTCAACCCACACAAACACATTTAAGACACCGCCCGAATTTCTCTGTCACACACAAACACACACACTAAACCCCCTGTCTCTCTCTGGATCTCACCGATTCAACCAACCCCAACTCTCCCACCTGTTTCTCCCATCTACCTTTTTTTCTCAGCAGAAAATCCAGCTAAAAAGTGGCAGGGAAATCCGGCGAAGCAACGACAAGATACTCATCGATATGTGGCTGCGTCAACTTCAGATCTGATCGTTTTTCCACCGAAGTCTACAGATCCATTCCTCCACTTTTCCGATCACCTGTACCGGTTTCCTGTTGCAGATCATAAACGGTAAGGCCACCGAATCTGATTTAGTCTCAACCGATCTCAGTTGGCATTTTGATAGGTTTGAACTTTTAGTAAACTTTTGTAAAGTTAGTGAACCAACTGCATTTGTGATTTATTATTTGAATTTCATTTCGCTATTAATAACAATTAATGATCGTGCTTAATATTTTTGCCGATGATTAATGAAGTGTGTTCATTTTTCATTGTTTAATTTTATGAGAAGCTAATCAATTATAGTCATGTTTGCTTTAACTCCAATTTTTTGAAAATTTTAAAATTTAGTTGTGATTTTTTTTTTTTTTTTAAAGCCATGAATCTAGAACTCATAACACTTTTAGCGTCTAATTTGTGTACTGTTGATTTTTCAACTAATGAGATCTGATTCCGTGTGGATGATTTAATGCAATTTGTTTATGTTTCTATAGATCCGATTTTGCTTTCTAGGGTTTTTGCTGAAGAAGGATTGCAGCAATGGCGCCGACAACCTTGCGGAAAGCTATTGGAGCGGTGAAGGATCAAACAAGCATTGGAATCGCAAAAGTAGCTAGCAACATGGCACCGGAGCTAGAAGTCGCTATAGTAAAAGCCACCAGTCACGACGACGATCCCGCCGGCGAGAAATACATACGAGAAATCCTCCAGCTCACATCATACTCACGAGGCTACGTCAGCGCTTGCGTCCACGCTGTTTCCAAAAGATTAAGCAAGACTCGTGATTGGATCGTCGCCCTAAAATGCTTAGTTCTCATCCACCGACTCTTGAACGACGGCGACTCAGTTTTCCAGCAGGAAATCATGTACGCTACTAGAAGAGGAACCAGATTGCTAAACATGTCAGACTTCCGCGATGAAGCACACTCCAATTCATGGGATCACTCCACTTTCGTTAGAACTTACGGTTTTTACCTTGATCAGAGACTCGATTTGATTGCATATGAAAGAAAGCAAACCGGTGGCAGCAATGGAGATTCCGTGAGGTCCAGGGAAGATCAATGGAGATCTCCACCAAATCGCGGATACGATTATGACGATGAACCAGGGTATGGAAATATAAGGAAATCAAGATCTTCAGGAGATGTTAGAGAAGGATCTGGATCATCTCACGACAAGAAAGATACAAATACAACCCCTTTGAGAGATATGAAACCTGAAAGAATCTTTGGGAAAATGGGACATTTACAAAGGCTATTAGACAGGGTATTATCCTGTCGACCTACTGGTCTAGCAAGAAACAGTAGAATGGTTTTAGTTGCTTTATACCCAATTGTTCAAGAAAGCTTCAAACTTTATTCTGATATATGTGAAGTTTTAGCCATTTTACTCGATCGATTCTTTGATATGGAACATCATGATTGTGTGAAAGCATTCGATGCTTACGCAACTGCTGCAAAACAGATTGATGAACTTGTAGGGTTTTATAATTGGTGCAAAGATATGGGAATTGCAAGATCATCAGAGTATCCAGAAGTTCAAAAAATCACAGGAAAATTACTAGAAACTTTAGAAGAGTTTGTTAGAGACAGAGCAAAAGCTACAAAAAGCCCTGAAAAAAAACCCGAAGTTAAAGAAGAACCCGTTCCCGACATGAACGAAATAAAAGCTTTACCAGCACCGGAGATTCATACTCCACCACCGCCACCGCCACCACCAGTGGCGGCTCCGCCACCCAAACCGCAACACACTGGTGACTTAGTCGACTTACGTGAGGAATCGGTGACAGCCGACGACCAGGGAAATAGATTCGCATTGGCTTTGTTCGCCGGTCCGGCGAAAGGTGGCGCCAACGGAAACTGGGAGGCTTTTGGCGGTGGTGAGGCGGAGGTGACGTCGGCATGGCAGAATCCGGCGGCGGAGGCCGGAAAAGCCGATTGGGAGCTTGCGTTGGTGGAAACCACTAGTAATTTGGAGAAACAAAAGGCGGCAATGGGTGGTGGGCTTGACCCGTTGTTGTTGAACGGAATGTATGACCAGGGAATAGTGAGGCAACATGTGAGCACCACCAGTTTGAGTGGCGGCAGTGCGAGTAGCGTGGCTTTACCAGGGAAGTCATCCACAACACCGGTGTTGGCCCTCCCGGCTCCTGACGGGTCGGTTCAACCCGTGGGTGGTGACCCGTTTGCTGCTTCGTTAAGTGTCCCACCACCTGCTTATGTCCAGATGGCGGACATTGAAAAGAAACAACATTTGCTTGTTCAAGAACAGATGGTTTGGAATCAGTATGCGAGAGATGGAATGCAAGGTCAAGTTAGTTTGGCTAAAATCAATAATGGTGGATATGTTGCACCGGGTCAACCACCCATGATGCCTTATGGAGCTCCACCTGTAAACGGATCCGGGTACTACTATCCTACTTACTAAATATCTAAATACATTTTTTTTTTATAATTCTTATTATGTGTTACATATATTGTGATGTTTTTTTTTTTATGTTTCCACTCTGAGGTTTTTTTTTTTTGTTGGCATTTTTGTTGTTATACTATGTTTTTGTTAGAACACATGAGTAACTAATTCGATTATGTAATTATTTGCTACTACTAAGTACTAGATTATTCATCTGTTATTTTGTTATACTATCTTTTTTTATAAGTGATGAATTGATGCCATTTGGAAGTAACTTTATTCTGTTAGAGGGTCTATTGATATTGGTATTGCTTTATGCTTTTAGTTGGATAGAGAAAAGCATAAATGCTTGTTTCCTTAATGCCTAAGTATTCCTTCCCTTTTGGCACACAATTGATCTAATTTGTGTTACCACTTAGATTAATAAATTATGTTATTAGCCAAAATTTAGGTTAATTGAAGTAATGGTTAATTATTAGAAGCTAATTATACGGATTGAAAATGTTGATAAAATTATATATTCAAAGAAAAGAAAATGGCAGTCAAACTTTGACCACACGGTTCAAGCAAAGAATGAAATCTGAGTTTCTAGAATAAATTAAGCAAATGGTTCATGTGGTCCCTAAAATCATGCATATGTGGAATGGCTTGATGGCTAATGCATCTACGCTGTTAGAAAGAGAGTTGATGAATATCGAAGAATTTTGGGATATTCTAAAATTTTGTAATTTTGACCCTATGAGTAGGTGTTAAGATAAATAAGTGGTTGGGCTCTGTTTAAAATCCACCAGGAGACAAACACGAAAACTTGCTTTGTTCTATGTTCTATGAGACGAGGAATTTGTAGAAATGCATGCGTGAAAAAGCGATCTTATGGAAAACCAAAAACATCAACCGATATTATCATTTGAAGTTGCATAACCATAACACATAGTAAACCATAAAATGACCATAGAGAACAATGTCTTTGGAAGTATCACATACTTCAGGAACCTCTAATTCTTCAATAACACACTTAGACACATATATTCGCACATGTTCCGTGTAGAATTACATTTCCTTGTGTTAATCAAAAAACTTACACAAAAAAAAGCTATTTTTGTTGTGTCCTACTGCTAAAAGACCAAAGCCCAAATTGCCATGAGGAATCAAGAAATTACTAACTAACCTAGTTCTAGAGAAGAAAAGAAAGTGAGGAGAGAAATAAAAAGAATTGAAAGAAAAAGAAATGTATCTTTTGTGTATCCGAATAGGAGAGAAATGGAAGGAAAATAAAATATTTTGTTCTTTTTTTTTCTTTTCAAATCATTCCAAATCGGAATGCAAGTTAAGAGAGGAAGTGATCTTTCAATTATCTTCCATTAATGAAACTCGATAACGTTAACACCCTGTTCCCGAGTTCAACTTAACGAAAGAAAGGAAAAGAAATGGGTGGAAATGAGAAGAAAATGAAAAAAAATTAATGTTCCTGAGTTTCATTGAAGGAAGGACGTGGAAGGAAGTGGTGAGAAATTGAATGATCACTTTCCCTTGTATCTTTCATTCCGATTTGGGAGGATTTGGAAGAAAAGAAGAAAATAATTAATTTTCCTTCCACTTCTCTCCAACTCGGGAACACAAAAGAAAATTTTGTTTTCCTTTCATTTCTCTTTTTTCTCTCGTGACCTTCTTTTCTCTTCTTTTCTTTTCTTTTGATAAACTCGGAAACGGGGTGTAATTTCTTTTAATTTTTTTTATCACATTCATTTCTTTTCTTTTCTCTTGTTAAATTGAACCGAGGAACCAGGGTTAGACAATTTTCTACAAAAGTCTCATTATTTAGAGAAATTAACGATTAAGTCTCAATTTTTTTTACTAGAAAAGTCTAAGAAACTGGTAAATTTCTTCACTTTAGTCCCTTTTGACATATTCAGCAGCAAGTCATGGATCAAATTATTATTTTTTTTTCCAAAATAACGAGATATTTTTACC